TCCAACGACAACAGTTTCTGTCTCAAAGATCAGATCTGCAGTGTGACCTAAAATCAGAGAGTCATTATCAACAGTGATGGACAAAATATCAACAAAAAGTATTTTCTAAATATGACTGATTAGTAAAATACACAGTGACTTACATCTGACAGTGAGCAGCAGAAGTAAATTCAATTTGAACAGCATTTTCCTGTGACATTGACCATGGCCGTTACATTAACAAACAGTCTGTTGAAACACCTTTATATACAGTAATTGTCAGAAGTGGGTGGTAACTAAATAAGGTCAGTCTATTGGCCCTGAAAACAGGGGGGGCGGGGGGGAATCAAACGCTAAACACATGAAACGAAACGGACAGAGTTGTTCCTTAATGTGTGATGGTTGCTCTCTGTTTCTGCAACTGTAGAAGAATTTAAGATGGAATTTGCCCTAGAAAAAATAAAGTCAGAATTAGAGACAGAAAAAAACCCATTGAGATCAATTGAAAAGTAATGAAGGCTAAAATGTTGGATAGACTACATCTGTTTGCAAAGATTTCATTTTTAACCTCACTCAGGAAACTGTGCGGTGTAATAAACAGTGAAAAAAATAATGATTAAAATCTTCACATTTTATTTTGAAAAAATACTTTCTCTTTTAAAAAAAATTCTTAAACATTGCAGTCTTGCAAATAAGATTTTTCCATCCTGTCTGTGTAAAAGACTTGATCTTCTCAATAGTGTCTCTTCTCTGATTCTCCTCATTTTGCATTTTTGAAAGAAGACAGATCCGACAAGGACATCGGAATCTCACTGTTGGCTCATCACCGTCATTGGTCTCACCTTGCACCAACCAATCGTTCCTCTAGTATATCAGTCCCCTCTGTGCCAGATCATTCTTAACCTCCTTAGCTTGTCTTCAATGTTCCAGTCATTCTCCCTGTTTTGATCTCCCAGGGCGAATACGCCAATTACAGCTAAAATACAGGAAAAACATCTACCATGAAAATAGTAGTCAGTTCATGAGGTATCACATGCTAGCTAAACAATTGCCAGATTAGCACTAGCATGAGTTAAAGTCAGCAAAACTAGTTACATC